TTTCTAGTTCCCTCTAGGTTCTTCTATACTCTTCTTGATTACCCTAAATTCTTCTAACAACTTGAAGAATTCCTTTCATACCCATTCATCAACTTGGCATTAAAATAGGGAGGAAATAAATGGAAAATTCGTGTAAAAATATTTCCTTAATTATTTCTCCACTTATCAAGCCAATCTTGCACCGTATCAGATATTTTTCGGGTCCTAACTTACCCTGTATCACCGGGACAACTTCTTCTTAAAATTCTGGCCAATAAAAGGTACACATATGGCGCCATCTTAGGGGAGCATAGATGAAAATAATTAGCTTTGCTGACAGGCTACTTGACCTTACTGAGTCATGCAGTAGAGATTTCACTATAACGGGTAGACAAAGGACTGTCTAAAATATTCCCATACTGCGTTATGATTTTTATGCTGTCCATAAATATCTTCTGCTGACTCAGCATGATGACTCATAGGTGTCATGATTACGCTTGGTGACTCAGCATGATGACTCGTAGGTGTCATCATTACACTTGGCGACTCAGCATGCTGACGCAGCATTGTCATGATGGCCCTTAGATATTTTCTTTGGTTTTGTCTCCTATTTAGGAGACAAAATTATTTTATATTTGACTGGAGCATTTTATTCAATCCAAAGCTCTAAAAATTCATCCAAAAATATCATAAAATTCCTCATATTCTAGAGAAAATCTGTGAATTTTCTCAAGTCATAATTCAACCTGTAGCCCCACTTAAAAATCATTCTTTAAAATGCCCTTTTTCGGCACAACTGGCTTGTAAGTATTCTTAAAGCCATTTTGCTGGTCTTCTGGGGATGAGACTAATTTTATAATTTTCTACAGTCTCTTAGATCATATATCCCTATTTTACCATAATTTTCTGAGGTTTCCTTGTGACTCAAACAATTAAATGTACCTCTACATCTCAAACTGAGCCATAAACTTATAAATTCCTTTTAAGTTACCTCAGGGGTATTTTCATCATCTCTCTTCACAAAAGAGCCTTAGAATATTATTTCCTATTTTTTGGGATTTTCTTAGAATTTTCTAAGTACTTTCCATCTTTACCCCTGATGGCCGTAACTTTCTAAATTTACGGTTTTACCCCTGCTTAGGCTCAACCTCATAAAACCATCTCTTTGAGGCTTCTAACTTAACCTTTGGTTTGTATCTAGCCTCTTTTCTCTTTCTGGACCTTTAAGACTTTACTGGAGCCTCTAACTTTGATTACCCTTTAGCCCCTTAAAACTTTCACTTTGCAGTTTACTCCCTGAAACTGCTTTAACTTCCTTTCTCATCTTTAGGGCCTCTACTAAAAAGGGGTCTGGTAGCCTATCCCATTCAGGCTATTTCTAGTACTTCTAGGCCCAAAAATCGGGATGTTACAAGGAGGTTAGCTTTAATTGAATTTAAAGCTAAATTAATATCAGTAGATTGTTTGTTTTTACAGAAACGGTAATTTAAAGACTTATATGGGGAGAAAAATTATGAAATTAATCAAGAAAGTTTCCTATACTGAGATATAATTAATAGTGATCTGATATAAGAATTCTGAGATACTAGAATTTTTCAGCTATCAGATAAAATAAACCAATATTATATTACGATTCAGTAGACTGTCAGGATAACCGGGGTGGTAAAATTTCTGATAGAATGTCAAGGACACATGTCACGCCCAAATTGGCCAAGAAAGGGAAAAAGAAGATAAAAAGAAAAAGGAAAAGAAAATACTAAATCAAGTTAGATTAAAATTTAATTAGAGATAAGTAAAATGATTATGGTTAAGTAATCTTCCGTAGGATCGTGACACGTGGCAAACATGGTTCATTAGATGGCTAGGATTTAAGCTCTATCTTTGAAAAGTCAAAAGTTTCTAGAAGAGTAATTAGCCAAGTTAATCAAGGAATTAGGAGAGTTAACCTTGATTAAAGCCTAATTAATCTTAATGGATAAGAAAGATGACATATGCCCTAATGACTCACCATCCAAGTGTCAACATATTAAGCCACATAGCCTAAGATTTGTACATGTAGAAAGAGGTAAAAATTGGAGGGCTAAGATTAAGTCTTATGCAAGAAGGGCAAATGTGGAATTAATGAAAAAGAAAGCCTATAAATACCCCTTCCCACATGTTCATTTTGTGTGAAGCCTTTTAAGTAGGAAACCTCTTGCAAATTTTCATTTAGAGAGAGAAAGAGAAGATTTCTAGTGAGAGAAAGTCATTTGGAAGCAAGGTAAGCTTCTACAACTCTCCTATTTCAAGTATAATAATGATATATGGGTTTTGTGCTATTTTAATGATGATGGAAAGTCATTTTCCTAAAGGGAAGTGCTGTCCAAATTTTATCAAAATGATAGGAAATGGTTTAGATGAAGTATGGTTAAGATTAAGCATGGTTAAAGGTTAAGGATTAAGTGATTACATGATTAGTTTTGTTGAGAATCCTTTTCCCCATAATTATATATATGGTTCGGCCAAATTGAGAAATGTAGGAGGGAAGATGTTTCAATTCAATTTGATGCTTCCAATGAGTTTAAATGATGATTTAGTGTAGGTATATACCAGGAAAGGGATGTTGGAAGCATTAAAAATTGAAATGAAAATTTTGAACCTATTTATCCCTATGGTTCAGCCAAGTCAAGTTCAATGGGAAGGGATTGAATTATCATAAAACTAATATGATAAATGGATTCTACATGAAAAATTATATAGGAAAGGCCCAAGAAAGTTCAAGAATCAAAGCTAGAAAAATAAACCCTAAAAGTCAAGAAAAAAGGGGTTTAAGGGGTTATGTTAAGTTATGGAGTTGAAGTAATGCTTAATGTTGCCTAATAGGCTATACACAATAAAGAGGCAAAGATCTAGTCAAGAGAAAAGAGTTCAAGAGGAAGGAAAGCCAACAAGGTAGCTTTTGCATTCTATTACTTGTTAGAGTTACTATACATTGTATGTTCATTGCTATGTGTTATGATGTTATGCCATGATGCCTCCATGCATTATGCCATTATGCAAGGTTGAGATGATATGTTATGTTATGATGTTATGTTTTTCCATGACAAGTACATAATACTCAAGTATGTATGTATGTATGCATGTAGCTTGAATTACATTGTGATGTGTAACCATAGTAATGTATGCGATGTGCTACTAAGATTCCCCAAGAATCTTACCCCCATACTTAACAAACCCTAGGGTATTCAATCTCTAAGAGCAAAGGAAAAGAAGTGACTATAGTGGAGAGTTAAGTTTGCCTCAAGAAGAAGAAGAAGAATGAAGAAAAACCTTATATTGGATAAATGTAATTAAGAGTATGCTTTAAGGTTTTAAATTATGGATATATGCTAGCTTATGTGTTAATATGTGAAAGCATGCTAGTGTTGTACAATATGCATGATTATATGGTAGGAGAATTATTATGCAAGTAATTTGTCAAGTAAGACAATTTATCCTTCCAAGAGGGATAAAAGTCAACATTATGGACCTAAATGACTAAAGTCATCGAGTGAGTATAGCCATGAGATTCGGTGAGCAAATAGATGGGATTTTTCTCTTTAAGATGAGAATTGGTTCACCTGAATCTGATAACCACACAAGAAGTTATGCCCTTCTAAAGTTGGGCTAAAATAAGTGGAAAATGGAAAAATGACCATATGAGCAATAACTTTTTCAAGAAAAAATGGGCTTAAATTTTAAGGTAGTCAATCTAGAAACTATTTTCTCTCAAAATTTTATCCAAAGAGCTTTCCACAAAACTTGGAATCACTCAATTTTGATTTTTCTACAATTAGTTATGAATTTTCGAAGTTTGCCACATTTTTGGGTTACAATGAATAGTAATCCGTAAAAGAAAATTTTCAAACTTGATTTTTCATAACTTGTAGTCTTCAAAAGTGATTCCAAATGCTTTCGCAAGGCAATTTAATTGGTATAAACATAAGGTGTTACATACAGCGGTACGGTATCTTTTCAAGAAACTGTACTCAAAACCTCAGTTGCTTCATTGGGCTCTCCTTTTGCAAGAGTTTGATCTTGAGATCAAGGACCGAGCTGGAGCTGAAAATCATGTGGCAAATCACTTTAGTCGGTTGCCCATAGATACAAGGGTAGTTGATAAATCTGACCTTATCTTTGATTCTTTTCCTGATGAGATATTATGTTCCACAGCTCTTAGGGAGCCTTGGTATGCTCACATTGTGACCTATCTTATGACCAGACTAACCCCACCTTCTATATCTACTCATCAGGTGCAGAAGCTCCAAGCAGAGTCTAAATAGTATGTGTGGGATGAACCATTCCTTTAGAGGCTATGTGGGGACCAGATTATAAGGCGATGTGTGCCTAAAGAGGAGTAACCATTGATTATCTCCTCTTGCCATACCTTGTCATGTGGAGGGCGTTTTAGCTTAAAGAAGACAGCTAGGAAAATTTTAGAGAGTGGGTTTTACTGGCCTTTCTTATTTAAAGACTGCTATGAGTTTTGTAAATCTTGTGAGACATGCCAAAAATTTGGGGGAGTGAGTTAGAGGCATGAGATGCCTCAAAAGCCCATGTTATTCTATGAAATGTTTGATGTTTGGGGTATCGACTTTATGGGCCCCTTTCCTTCTTCCAATGGCTTTAATTATATACTCCTAGCAGTTGGTTATCTTTCCAAATGGATGGAGGCCATTCTTACTCGAAAAGATGATGCCAAAACTGTAGTTGAGTTTGTAAAGTCTAACATTTTTAGTCAGTTTGGGATTCCTAGGGCTTTGGTGAGTGATTAAGGAACCCATTTCTACAATAGGCTTCTCAGTAGCCTACTTGTTAAATATGGGGTCACACATAAAACTTCTACTGCCTATCACCCTCAGACAAATGGCCAAGCAGAGGTGTCCAACCGAGAAATTTAGCGGATCTTGGAGAAGATGGTAAAGCCTTCAAGAAAAGACTAGAGTTTAAAGCTTAATGATGCATTGTGGGCATACTGAACTGTATTCAAGAACCCTATTAGGATGTCTCCATACCGCTTTGTCTATGGAAAATCATGCCACTTACCAGTGGAACTGGAGCACAAAGCTTATTGGACTGTATTGACGTGCAACAAGGAAATAGACAAAGCTGGTGAGGAAAGGCTATTTCAGCTTCAAGAGATAGAAGAAATGAGACGAGAAGCCTATGACAACTCTCGAATGTACAAGGAAAAGTTCAAGGCCATTCAGGACAGTGGTATCTTGAGGAAGAATTTTCAGCTTGGTGATAAGGTTCTCAAATTCAAAGCTCGATTCAAGTTTAGAGATGGGAAGCTGAAAGAAAGATGTGATGGACCTTACACCATAACAAAGGTCTTTGGCTATAGAGCTTTTCAACTCAAAGATGAAAAGGATGGCACTACACATCTAGCCAATGGACATCTCTTCAAGCTTTTCTATGGCAAGCCTGCAGAAACATAATCTCAGATTGTTTCTTTCCTCTCCTTATCCTCTATCACTTTGAGATTGCTTGTGATATCATTTGTTGCTTAGCTTGTTGGATTTGTGTGAGGGTGGAAACTCTCTAGTAGTGTAGATGTTATTTGTTTTTGTAGTTTGTTTTGTTTGTGTTTTGTTACTCTTTGCTAGTATATTTCTTTGTTTTGTTCTGTTCCTCCCCTTTTTTGCAGTAAGTTCTAATCTATGTGGTGCCTTTTACTGTGTTTCTGGTTGATGGTTGCTGAATTGTGCTGTTTTGAGGGTGGTTTTGGTTTAATTTAGAGGGTTTTTGTTGCTGGGGCTTGTTTTGTTGAGGGTGTTGGGTTACTGGTTCAGTACAGAGGTTTAGAATTTAGTGGTTATAGGCTAGAAGGGTCGTTAGTGGTTTTTCTCAAGGTTGCTCTCGGTCTAATTTTTTGTCACGACTAATGTCTAGTTTGTCGTGACTAAATATGCCTTTCCTGACTTCCCAAATGCCTCTGGACAATTTTTAGTCACAACTAAAATTATTTTTAGTCATGATGAAAATGGTTTATTTCCAAAAATTCCATATTTGTGTTTTCCTTATTCTGCTCCTATTTGTATTGTTGTTTTTTGCTTTTACCCTTTCAAAAACCCTAGACATTCGGTTGGCCCTTTAAAAACCCTAGGCATTTTAGTCTTTCCTTCCTCCCTAAACCCCGTTTTTGTAGTTTCCCTCCCTAAAAACTGTCCACTTTGCCAGAATAGTTTCCCTTTCCTCTCGGCTTGCTCTGCTTCATTCTATTCTGCCCAGCACCATTGATCTAGACTGCCTTGTCCCACTCTTTTCCTGAATTGTTGAAGGTAACCTTCATCCCTTCCTCCTTATTCTTTCTTCTCTTCTTTTTTTTTCAGTTTCTAGGGGGTGGTGACTGAGATTTTGATGATTTGAGTTGGGTAGGATGTATAGAGTGGTATTTTTAGGTTGTAGACTATTAGTGGATTGTTTTTTACTGATATATTGAACTAGTTTGCAAGTTTTCTGCTGGGCATTGCTTGATTTCTTGGTTACCCTATTTCAAACCTGGTTTTCATGAACTTTTGCCCTATTTCGTCGTGGTGAGATATGTGTTTCATCATGACCAATTGTTTTTACAGAAGCTATATAGGGACCATTATGAGTATTCATCGTGAACAAGGTTCCTGTTCAGTCGTGACGAATGTGCTGAATCCTCCTTGTCCCAGATTTCTCTGCTGTTTTTGAAAATGGTTTCAAACTTTACTTGCAATCAAATTCTTTTGAACCTTTCTTCAAAGCAGTTTAGTTTGCTTAGTTTTAGTTGGGTAGCATGTAGAGGAGTGCAGTGTCTTAGGATTTGTCTAGCCTAGTTTCTTTTTCCTTCTTAAGAGTTTAGGAAGTTTGTTTTGGTGTGTTTTTCTTTGTTCATGTGTGTTTGATTCTTTGTGTTCTGATTTTGCTTTTGCAGATGCCTCCTCGTACTGCCCTAGCTAAAACCAAAGAGTAAGCCCAAACCATAATCTACTCCAGACCTCTTCTACCAGAGAGAGAGTTCCTAGAAACCTCTGAGTGTGAGTTTTATCAATCGGCTATCCAAAGAGGGTTTGAAGAGATGTTGAAGAAGAGAGAGCTAGGCAATAAAGTCTTGGTTAGGGAGTTTTACACCACCATAAGGGTTGAGGATACTCTAATGATTAGGCTGCATTGAATGTGTATACAGTTTATAAAGAAAGCTATTCGTCGGCATTATAAATTGCCAGTGGTGAAGAAGTGTAAATTCCAGCACTACAGAAACAATTTGACAGATATTGACTGGGACGACGTCCTTAAGACTCTGTGTGTAGAGGGTGGAACTTAGGTCGAAAGAGGCAACGATCAGGTTTACCTTAAAAGGAAGGTTATGAACGATGAGGCCCGTATCTGGCTGAATTTTATGTGCTATAATGTCATGCCTAGCGCCCATATATCTGATGTCACCAAGGAAGGTGCCCTACTGCTATACTTGTTGATGAAGGGAAAAAAGATTGACATCCCTTTGATTGTTATGGAGTCCCTTCTAGAGTGTGCTCACTCCACCAGAGCCAATCTAGTGTTCCCCCACTTGATCTCTGAGCTTTGCATTAAAATAGGGATGCCAGTAGAGGATGATGATGACCTATTTGAGGGAGTCCAAACTAAATGCTACAAGCCCTCCAATAAGTGGGCTGCAAAGATGTGTAGCTAGAAGAAGGGCAAGCGAGTTGCTGAGGACGAGCCTGTTGACACTGCAGAAGCAGCTGAAGGGACTGGTGGCTCTAGTATCACCTTGGAGAGTCTCATCTAGCAAATTGTCTTGCTCCAGCATAGTTTTTGGAGCCCATAATGACTAAGGCTTCATTAGTTACTCGGAGTGAGAAAACCACAAATCTACTCACAATACCACAGTAGCATGTACAAAAAATTGGAAAGTGGTTACCTCTCACCTAAGTAAGGATTTACAAACCACCAACGATGCCCTATGCACTAACAAGACTCACAACTAGTCTACACAAGCACACAAACACACAACCACTATGTATTAGTTTTCAACTACTAAAGTGGCTAAAACAATACTTGGGGACTCAAAATTCCTAACCATAACCCAAACTCTACCCAATTTCAAAAGTTCAAACCATCTTAGTAACACTCCAAAGCCATAAGAGTCCATTATAAGCTTAACTCTCATCCAAAACATCAATTAGGATTCAAAACTTCAAAGACCCACTCCAGGAATTCAACACCCAAACACGTAAAGAGAACAATTCAAGTCCTATTAACATTCTAAACTGATTAGACAATCAATTTAGCTCACATTAACATAACCTAAAGCATAGAACTCAATTTCAATCTCCACATTATTATTGTCAATCATCCTCTATTTTCCACATATTCTATCTCCAAAACTTCAAAATCTCTAAATCCAAGAAAACCACCCAAATTAAACACTTAATCTAACCAGCAACAATCATTTAAACTCAAAACAATCAGTTAAAAAACATTAATTTCAATAGAACCTAAAAGCTCTCAGGTTTCTTTATAAAATCCTCAAAAATTCCAAGAGAAAGGGTAGATTAGAGTTTAAAACCACTTACTTGAGGCAATGGACCCTTAGAAACTATTAGATAATAGGTTTTGATGATAACAATTTAATTGTTTCTATTTCTTTACGAAATCATTAAGTTGATCGATCAACAGATCGATTAATGGTTAATCCATCAATTGATCGATTAATGGTTAATCGATCAGCTGTTAGATAACTGCTACTTCTGTCTTAATCACTTAATATTGAACTTGATCGATAATGTGTTAGATAACTTAATTTTTATGCATTGATCGATCAATTCATCGATCATTGATAACACTGTTGAGTATAAAAGGATGCAGCAAATTATCAATCAATTGATCGATAATCTATTGTTCAATTAACTATCAGAAAAAGCCACAAAACAGTGGTGAGTATAACACAGCTTTTATTGATCACCGAATTGATCAAGTGTTAATCGATGTGAACTTAGATAACTAGTAAAGTTTCCTTGATTTATGTTTTATATTGAATAGTTCTCTTATTATCAATCACTGTTTTATGGATAATATATTTGATCATTTTGGATAATCAATAATGTGTTCTATCAAGGTATTCTGTGCTACTTTGTTGAATCAGACTTTCCACTATCCATGATTGATCAATTGATCGATCATTCCTTTATCGATAAAATGATCAATCATCATGATCTCTACATCTTCTTTTCACATCACATGATCGATCAAAGTCTTTCTCTAATATTTTCTAAGAACAACTTTCAACAATCACTTATTGATCACTTAATCGATAACTCATTAATTGATCATTTAATCGATCATCATCTATTCTGTACACTTCACTATGAAAGTTTTTCTTTGAAACCAATTTTTGATCATTTGTTCTATCAACCATTTATCGAAGAAGTGTTTGATCATTATATTTTGAAAATGGTTTTCATCTAGATTTAGCTTAATTGATAGAATGATCAATGAAACATTTTTTGATCATTTGTTTGATTATTACAATAGTTCATTTCTCAAACAGTTCTTTCTAAAGTTTTGTCATAGAATATAATTTCATTTTATCTTTAAGCTTTTCTTAGCCTTCTTTATTCATATAATCCTCTTTTGAAAGGATACGAAGGCAAACAAAACTTGAAAGAGATCAACCATACATACTTCATTTACAGATCACCGTGTTCATAATTCATCGTTTATCGATCATCTGTTCGATCATCATATGATCCATAACCTATTCGATAAATGCATATATCTGCTATATCTTTTCTTCATATAATTAATCAATAACTTGATTGATCAATGCTTTATCAATCAAGACATCGATGAAGTAAGTTCAGTTTACTTTCTAAGTACTTGGTGATTGATTCTATGCTTTTTAACTGTTATATTAATGTCCAGAATCATCACTTCTTCTATTACTCCTTCCAATTTCTTTGAAGAAGAAAACTTACTTGTGTCAAAAGACTTGTGCAGATTACAAAGTACAATAGTTATTTTATAACCCTTAACCTACTATATCAGAAGCATTAATGGCAAACTACTGTTGTAACTATCAAACACATGCAAACAATCTTCCAACAGCTAGAAGCTCTTCAGTGTAATGAATAACTAAAATACTCCAACTATAAAAGGTAGGATGAGCATTGAATAAAGTATTGAATACATGAGCTACTGTCGATTGAAAATTTACTATTGCATTCAATACTTTGTTTTACCGAAGTTTAGTGTTTATCATTCATATACTCTGTGAGAGAGCTTAATATATCCTTTTTTACTCATTTCTGAGAGTTACTCAAGAGTGTAGATTCTTGAGGGGATTGTAACCCTACGGGTAGTGAGGGGGAGTGATTGAGAGGTTCAATTATTGTACTGAGGCACCAAGAGCCCGTTTAATCTTGGGAATTTAGTGGAAATCTCAGAAGTGTTCTGAGGATTGGGTGTA